TTTTTTTTTTTTTTTTTTTGTAGCAAAATGTGCATCATGTGCTTCTTTTCAGTGAAAGCAAAATGTAATAAAAAAGAAATAACGAAAGAAACGGTACCAACTGTGTCGTTTAGCGATGTTGAATCAGATAAGAGTGGGGAAGGAAATAGAAATGCTAGCAATACGACTTGTGATTTAAAACAGGCGATAGATTCAACACCAAAAATTTGGACTATTAAAGATAATACCAGATTAAAAGTACAACTTTCTGTAGATTTTTCTATGCAGTATTTTGACTTTCTATGCAGTTTTTGTTTCCTAGGTATGTAATATTTTCCACGTGTGATTCGAAATGAGTTTTTTATCTATTTAAAAGTTTTTTATTTGTTTAAAAACAAAATATCTGAATTTTTGTGCAACTCAATATCAGTAATCATGTATTCAGATTGCGGTACATTCTTTACATCCGCAGGATATCGAGGATTGGGAAAAGGTTGCGAAAGTTATGCGAGCACGTACAGCAGAAGAGTGTCGCATACAAGCGATGAATATCTTGAAAATAAATATTACTCCTGTTAAAAAAAATAGGCCGGAAGTATCAGCTAATGTAGTGGAAGCACTTAGGAAAGCTAAAGTATGTTATTTACTTTATTATTTATGTCTGTGTTTTGTGTATATTAATTTTTACTTTGAAGTATGTTGCAGTCGGGTACACTTGAATATAAGATTCAAGCAGACCGATTCAATCGTCAATTTATTCAAAGTGGTGATACATCAGATTTTTTCAACGACAGCCTGGAGGCTGGGCCAAGCAACGTGGGCATAACTGTTAGTTTTTATAACTCTCTCAACAAAAATGAGAAAATCCACCAGTTTTTTAGTAAGAGCGGTAATCTGAATGCAATTTTCATAATGGTCAGCACTTCAGATGCCTTCGGTAACAATTTTTGACTCTGATGATTCTTTGCTGTCTGTTTTGCGTACACCAACTCCAAAACCAGTGCGACGAAATGCTCAGTATAAGAAGTTAATTCGTATTTCTGAATCACCAAGCTCTTTCTCATCAGAGAAAATGCCGGTTGAATCTGATCAGCCACTACGACTTAACATGAATAATGAAGTTCATAGGTATATTAATTGCATGACTTGAACCTCATTTATTTTCTTCTTAAATACTGAAAAAACATTGCAAAATCTGTGAAACGGTGCATTGTTTATACAAAACATAAAGTGCAGGATGTAGAACTTTGAGGAGAATTTTATTTTAAACGTTTGATATTTTGGACTTATTATTGTATGTTCCGTCTAAATATTTCAGAAGATATAAAAAATAATATCATTGAAATTAGGAAAGTTAGGTTTATTGACATAATTTTAATTATAAGATTTTCAGAAGACAACAAATACGTTATGTCCACAGAATAATGAAAGCTAATAATCAATACAATAGAAGCCGTCGTAATAATACAAAACCACCTATTCGAAAAGAATATCAATTAGATTTGCCAGAAATCAGACGCAAACAGAACGATAGTGACAAAGAATCCGAAGACGAATATTTTGAAGAGAATTAACCAAACTATACTTGTGAGTGCTACCTTTCATCTCAAAAATCAAAATCAAAAAGTGTAATGGCGTTTCCTACTAACGATTGTTCTCGAATTTTTCTAATCCCCAATGTATACTTCTATTAGTTTTTGGATTTAAAACTTCGGACTTCTTCAAGCACTAATGGCAAAATCCTGTACAGACTCTGGTTACTAGTTCGAAAGATTCAGAAATTGAAATACTTCACGAACTAAATTATTTTGAATCGCATTCAGTTCTTGATATTCTTTGTGCTCCCCAGTGTAAATACATTGCAAGAGAATAAACGTGCTATTATTTGTGTAATTAATTAAACCGCTGGAACTGATATAAATCATGAGAAATTTATTCAATTTCGTTGCAAAGACAAATCTAATGTCATGCAAAATTTGCGTCGAAAGCTCAGAATGCATACATTACATCACGAAGGTGTAGATTCACTTTTAACGCAGTAGTGGTATTGCATTGAACATTTCATGATATAATCAAAATTTTCTAAAAGAAATAGTAAAGGTGCAGGCGCATTTCGATTTTATGTCAGCGGTGTATGAGTTCTTTTCAAGCAGTGATGTTTAGTCAAAAATATACAGCTGCAGAAAAATCCGAACATTAGTTCACGAAATCAAGAATTATTCCACATGTGATATGAGACTTCTTGAACGACATATCTTTTATATGTAGTATTTACAAGAATGGTGAAATATGCAAACTGAGATACTGGATCTTATGAGGCTTTCCCATATATGTGTGCTTCAGTCTGAAGTGTGAAGCAGGGCTAGCAGAAATGATGGATTTAAAACGAATTACAAATACTGCCAAGCATACCACAAAACAAAATAAGGAAACACGTGGAAAGACGAAAAAAATTAACTAATAACAGCACAAAAAAAGCAAAAATTTCAAAGCTGACAAAACAAACACGAAGATTGAAAACCTGAAATCTAAACATCAACAAATGAGCCTTTCTTGTGTGTTATAAGGTTTAAAAGTATGATTTAATCATAAGATACTTGCCGCTAAGCTTGTTAATGCAAAGTTCTTGGGGAACGCTTCATCACTTCGAATGTGAACCTTCGTTTTTGCAAGCAGCAGTAAAACATAAAACTATAGTTTTCACACTGACACTAAGACCCATATAAATAATACAGTAAATGCATTTCATGAACTGCGCACGACTAATAAATTTTCAAAAGGTTAAAAGCGGTGCTCTGCTTATATAAAAGTGTTCTTGAACACAAGCAAGTGTTACACACCTTACTGAGCCTATTAGTGCTAGACGAAATTGATTCTAAAGAGATATATAAAATTCTTTAAATCACTGATACCTTCGTTCAAAACAGCTCGAAATTTCAGCGCAAATTTTACAGTTACAAATAAGTTTTTGAAATAATGTTGCATAACTCTTCCGAGAAATGACATATGTGACAAAAAAAATCATTAAAAACAAGAATCTATGAATTATTCCAATGTAGGCTATCATAATCTTGTACCTGATGAAGAAAATTGATCAAATGTATTGAAACTTTTAAAATGTTTAGCAGGAACTCAGTAAGGTCGTGCAGGTATCTGCGGTCGATCTGGTATCCTTGGTGGAATGCCGTTTTGATTTGATGAGCTACTGTGCACTCGACTGAAAAAAAATCATTGATGCAAATGTTTAGCAAAGCTCATCAGAAAAAGAAAACAAGCATTCCAATATTCTATTTAAATTCGTGTACTACAGATGTAAATGTAATACGATACTTCAGAACAAGTCACTTTCCAAATGCTTTAGAGGACGTATGTAGATTTTCAAAAAGTACATGAAAACAGGGAACTGACACAATAATGAAAGACCTATATGCAATAGCGTGTGTGTCGTTTCCTAACAAAAGTTAATAGCAGAATTTTTGATTTATAAATAATCAACATGTTCGTACTACACTAAGTCACTGCATCAATCAAGTTTTTATCTCTCAACTCTTGCTTACCGAAAGGAACATGAAAATGTATGATAGTTGGTGAATAAATGTACAATAGCGCAGGTGCTAGACTTTATCTAAGAACTAAAAAAATGAGCAAATAAAAATATAGCAATGCCAAGAGAGTGAAACACTTAGTTTGTTTCATTTGTGCAACAAATACTTTACCACGAATTAACAATAGTACTCCAATAATGTCAAACAGGACAACTCTACAACACCATAACATGCACTGATTCTCTAGAACACAATCAAAATGAAACAGAAAATGTTTACCAGAAGGTGGATTATTTTGGACGCCTAAATAACACTGTTATATATATTTATACATTCAGGAAAGAAAAAACTTATTTGGCGCTAGATGGATGATTTAATCTTATTAGAAACATGAATCTCGACAGAAAACTTCTAATTTGTCAGCAGTACCAAACTAGGTTAAAGATAAATGTTTCACTCTAGACGCCTAATAACTACAGAGATATGAACATATAGTTTGAGAGGAAGATTTATTGAAATTCAGGAGTAATTTAGTTTAGTTATAAGAAATGTCAACACATTTATCTCTACTTATAATAAATATGACAATATCTTACAACTGATTTACTCACATGGGAAGTAGTGGTGCTGGAAGGCCACCCGGTGGTCCCGGTAATGGTCGATTCGCTAACATTGATGCATTCTGCGTATTAGCCACTGGTCGAGGTGGCATTGGTGCAGGGCGCTGCGCAGTTATCCCACCCCCCATTCCTGGTGGCTGTGGTGCAGACCGTGGTATCGGAGAAGGTCCATTTGATCTTGAGCTGAAAATTTCTTTCGATATTTCGAAACTAATATCAATTTTTCAAATCAAGAATTAAAATCAAACAAGAAACCAATCAGATCTCCAAGAGCCTTATATTACATTTGGAAGCACCTACAATAGATTGTTAAGCTTAGCAAGAAATTTTTTAAGACAATCTTAAAAAACACGGTACCTCAACCAATCACTTGATACAGCAGGAGGTGCATCAGTCGATATTGTTGACATATTAACTTCTCCAATTATTCTTAAAGCTTCTCTACACGCATTATACATACGAAACATTTCTTCTCTTTTTTGTGCTTCAAACTGACTTTCTTCCATTAGTGAATCCTAAAAGCAATCTAAAAGTAAAATTACGAATCCTTAAAACAAAATGTACATGTTAAATGTCATATGAACTTCACGAAACATGGTTTCCAACAAGCTATGCTCTATAAGCAGTTGAAATAAAATCATCAAATACATTAATACAAACATAAGGAAATAAAAAACTGACCGTATCTCCAAGTTGATAAAGATTTGCAAGTAAATCCCCATCACGTAAAAATTCACTAACCTAAAAATCAATTTTGCATCCAGATGAAAAAAAAAAGAAACTAGCGCTCTTCTCTAATTTTTCACATCACGTTAAGCACGAATTATTTCAATGTAGCTCAATTTGTTAGAGAGAAATTTAGAGTGCTGAGAGCCATCAAATATGACAAAAATCTGTTCACATAATTAGTTGCATGCAAAGATACTTTATTAAGAGCACATGTATATAGAAGAATCATGATCAAACTAATAAAATTTTACTTTATTTACAATAAGGAACATGATTGCTTTTGGTACAAGGTCTCGAATTGTTTTTGTAACGATGCGCATATATGAGTCAACAAGATTGCGAATCGTTTCCACTTGACGTTCAAGCTGAGGATCAACTGAAGTTTCAATTTCTGCAGTAATCTGAAAATTAAATTTGCACTTTTGATTCAAATCCAAGAAATAATTTATCAGAAAATGGAAATATATAATAACTGATATTTTCGACAACTTACAAAACTTTTATGGAAAAACTAAGAATCGTAAATATTGTTGTACAATGATTAAGAAAAGACACTGCAAAAAAACCATGTAATCAACCTCGCCATCATCAGACTGCTTTTCCTTTTCTGGATAAACTCCAGCTCGAAGAAATGATGCCTTCCATGCATCAACTTCATCTAAATTACTAGCACTCAATTCCAACTGCTTATAATCCTTATAGATATTCCTGAAAGTAAGAGACATTTAGAGTTTTTTATTCCTACTAAATATGTGCGAAAATTGTGAGCTTCATGCGATTAATTAATTGAGGAGAATTCAGTGTTGATAGAACAGCTCTGAGATTACGCGGATGTGTAATTGAAAATATATACATGAACTTTGCAGATAAAAAACGGTCCATTAAAAAGTAAAAAAAAATGAGATGTTGACATACAAAAGAAAATATTTTGCGACTTAGCAGACAGTCCATACAACATGTCATAATCGAAACAATGGTGTTAAGATGATTATTTCTTTTGAAGCTAACAAATAAATGTTCATACTACAGTTATATTGATGTTATGAAGGAATTAACTGTTTAGTTATAACCATGAGCCAGTTCCGAGGTATTATTACTTACTTTATCACTCACATACTGTTATATGTCATACGGATCGTTATATGTATCTCTTTTGAATCACACTAAATATGATTTCAGTGGATAGGGAAATATGCTCTTAAAGTATTTTAGGCACTAATTAAACAAAATAAACAAAAATTAAAAAATTTGGCATGCAAATGTGCAAAGAAAGCTGAAGCTGATGATAATTAGAATTAACTAGCTAATGTTTCCTAGAAATCAAACTGATTATTTCATGCATCAACTACATAAATTTTTTTCTGTTGAAAATAATAGACTAATTTAAAATATTTGAAACCAAAATATTCAACGAAAATAACAAGCGATAACTCTGAAGTTTTGCAAAATAACCCTTTAATTAATTAAAATTAAAAAAAAAAAGAAATTAATAAGAACAAGTAATGGGCTGGGAATGCCGATATAAAGAATACTGTAATTAAATTTTTGCCCCAGCACTCAGATCCCGTCTCAATATTGAAAAATTTGTAATAATTGAAAATACTATTTTGTAATAATTCAAAAGTGCACCACAATGATGCTTGATGACATAACCAGCCCAATACTTCAAACCTCGAGTCACAAATCTGATACAAATTATCTAGCCCTTTTGTCAAGCCATTTTTTTGCGGCAAAATCATTAATTTGCTTACGAGCTGAAATCAAAAACTGTTACAAAAAGAAAGTAATAAAACTAAAGTTAATATTTCGAACTTCTAAAGTAATATGAAGTACACACTGCGGTCTCCAAAGATACCTTTCTAACATAAAATCGCCTCTAAATAATCATATGATAAAAAAGTAAATAATTCAAATTAAGGCATAGCAACGGTAAATATGCACAACAAGCAAACATAATAAAAGGCCTATATATAATCTTCTATCTAATAATTTTGCCGGCTTTTCTGTAACGGATAACCGAGTTCTTCACTACAATATCACAACATGAATACAATTTCAAAAAAATGCATACTTTCCGTCGGGATAAAATAGAGCAAATTTGTGCTGCTTTGACATGAAACCGGCTTCGAGATCGCGTAGTTTTATCCCGTCTAGTGGCAACATATATTTTTTTTCTTTTTCCTGCAAAAAATTTGAATTTGGAAAAACTGCAAGTAAAAATGAAGCATTAAATCACAGTCGCTGCAATTCTACAACAATAGCATACTGCCGTAATGCTCACGAACAGCTGCAGGTATTAGAAAGAATGAAATTTCCAAAACTTATCCGTTGTTAGAATTCATGAATAATCTTAATCAGCAAAGTGAAAAATTTAGAAATATGCCTTTCCAGTATAAAATTTATTTAACAACTCCGTTGTGATGTTAGAGTCAAACTGGAAAAGACTTACAGATGAAGATATTCAATGTGCCTTTAGTATATAAAATTTACAAAAGTTGATGTGAACGGAAGTAGAAATAAAAAAGTAGAATCCATTTTGACTAGTTCTTGATTTCTTTTATTTTCTAAACTAACATGAGCATATGAACAATGAAATTACACTAACACATCTTATCACAGAAAAAATCAACACTGTGAAACCAATAATGATAAAAGAATACCTCGTCATCTTTATACCAAGATAAATTGTCAGACGTGAGCACAAACCAGCAGTCTTTGGAACCGCGAACAAATGATATATTATGCACTGATAACCAGCCTTTTCTTATAACTTGATTCCCAAGATTTTTCTTTTGTGAATTTGACGATGCCTTTGCTTCAGCACTATATTCATAAACTATCAATGACCCATTTTATATGAAAACATCATTTAAACTGTGATTTTATTCTATTAAAAAACTACAATTTACTAGTGCATAAAACTAGAATTTACTAGGAATAAATCTATTCATATATTATAATAGACTACAACTACAGAGAGATTACTAAATTATGGTACGAAGATAATATTTTCTTTAGCAAACTTCTTCAGAAATCAGATTAATTTAGAAGCCACAATTACGCTTCACAACATTTACTTCGAAAACCCAATGAAATCTTCGTGATTTGTATTCATATAGGCTAGCTCGTAATCGACAAGCATTGATATGTAATATTTCGCACTTTGCTCTTTTTCTCGCATGTTAGTTGTCACAATTCGTTCAATTTCATCTCGTAACCTCGGGTAACGTGCAACCTGAACATAAAAGCTGTTGAACTATGGGTTTTTCGATTCAGTTCCTTTTTGTTTGGAGTAATTTTATAAACAAAAAATTTCTTTTTCGCTTTACTCAAAGTGCGAACTTTTATAGTTTTTATAGTTTGGCACTTTTCTTCAAATATTCCAATTTAACCAAAATCATATGCAAATTTTTATCTAAAACACTTGAAGTACATTCATACCAAAATAAACCCTTAAATGGATGTGCTGCATTAATTACATGCAGCATATTCATTTAAGTTGTTACTATATGGATTCTCACTGATGCATACACTGATTTACAAATCTTCTTTCATAAATTCCACTTCTAGTAAAAGAAACAAAACATACACATTCAGCACACTGTCGTACAACTGCAGCCAATTCATTGACAACTAAATCAACGCACTTTAATGATGGCTCCTTGAGACGTTCAATCTGTTTCTTGACTATTGCTTCAAATGCCATATCAGGAGTAAAAAGACCAACGCGAATGCCATGAATGTTTCGTATTGCAATTTGAATTTCTCGTCTCATTTCCTGTAAAACTGGATCTATTCAGATTTTAAATAAATATTATTTTTGGGCGATTTGGTCCCAGCACTGGTTGGCAAAAAATTACAAATATAATAACTGAAAAGAAGAGGTTGATTATGCACGGATTTTTTCTCCACTTTATATTCCTTAGAAATTTTTCTAATGATATTCGATCAACCCTAGGTAATTAATAAAATATAGGAAATAAGAACTTTTTCATCGATTTCCATCTTCACGATTTCAAATGGAAAGCGTTCATGAAAAATTCGATTAATTCGCGCTCCACCCGACAACTCGTTGGTGCTTACAGCTTTTGCTGACGATCCTTCAATTGATCGATCAATATCTGTGGTAAAAGTCTGCACCATTCTAAAAAGAATTCATTAAACGAAGCTCATCAGGAAGATTACATATTTGAACAAATTAAATCAAATTATAGCACGACTTTAAAACAAGTGAATGGAAGACAAATGCAGTAAAAATATTAACAATGAAAAATGAGAAAAATCCTTAAAACTTCAATTTAGAAAACGATAATCAAGTACAAATTGAGGGTTCACAAACTCTTTGGAACATAATAAAACATAGCGATGAAAAAAAACGAACTGCATGAGAGCTTTTGTCTTTCTTGATGGATCATTAGGCTGGAAATTTTTAAATTCTGTTACATCTTTTTCCAATGCAAACAGCTTTTTTTGTAATGAATCTCTTAATGCCGGCAATGTATCTTTGATATGATTAGTAAGCTGCTGATTTAATGTTCTTTGTAAATAGGGTGTTCCAAGACGATCCGCCAGATGTCTGCGAAAAATGCACAATAACTGTTCAAAAATTATTAAATAAACAAAGAGTACTGCTGTTAGCAATCACTTAAACCAAAATCTGTCTACATTATTAAAGCCCGTCTTGAGAATTCGTAGATAACATGAATAAAAATTGAGGTTGATTATAACTAAATAGGACAAAGAAAATCTCTAATGTAATAAGGTGAAAAATGCACCTATATGCTGGATGTGAAATGAAGAATTTGCGCTCCGCATCGAGAGCTGCTCTGATATCTTTTTTGCCCACAATATCCTTCTGACCACGATTGACAACCCCGACGTAACCTGAGTAACATATTATGTAAAGCTGAGAATTGAAAATCATAACAGACAAATTTAATTATAATCGTTTGATAGTCAACTATGTAAGCATATAACGAATATAAAAGATTTTGTATGAAATATACGAAAGTTAACCGTGGAAACCATAAACTATACGAATATAAAGGGAATAATGGATAAGACAGTTTTTCACTGCTCAAAAAATATTTCACAAAAATAGTATTTAAACTCATAACAAAAAAATGATCTGTACAAAGTAGTCATAAAACTGTCTTTTAAAAAATTTCACGAAAAAAAAACACACTGATTCACCTCTGCGAAGTGGGAACAGACGATTTTCTAAAATATCACGAGCATCAGTACCTTCGTCCATCAGATCTAATTTAGTCAGAACTCCTATGGTTCGCAAGCCTTGCGGATCAACCTATAATAATTAATAAAAGCAATATTTCACAAAACGAAACGATCAGTGTTAAGAAACAGTCTAATCAACTTCATGAGTTTCTGAAATCAATCTTTACGCATGTATCAAAGGAAACCTCTCGGGCAAGTTTTAGTGCATCTGATGTTGCAAGATCACTATTTGCTGGTGTGACTGCCAAAATGAGACAAGTTTCACGCGAAATATAAGTTAGCAGCATATCTCGTATTTGATGTTCGATATCCGGCGGCTGATCACCAACAGGTACTTTAGTAAGACCCGGCAAATCGATAAGAGTCAAATTTAATACTAAAAATCAAATTTTAACTACACCAGAAACCAGGAATACTCGAACAAATTCAGAAACTATAATTCATAATATACCATTTGGGCTAAAAATCCGCAAATTGATTGGAACAGGAGAGATGCCCTTATTCTGACCTGTAACCCGGTCTGTTTCATCTTCTATTTCCTTCCTTATCATATCAAAATCACCGAATTTCTGTCCTCTTTTGTGCAAAAATTCTCCATATTCTATAAAAGAACTATAAAAATACTTAAATACAAAAGCTTCAAACCTTTGCTGTACCATATTTTAAGAGACGAATTACAGATATACTAGAGTAATCGGCTTTACTTAAAATATTTCAGTAGCAATTTTCATAAAATATGAAAATTTCCAGCAAAAATACTCACCAACACGATCATGAACCAGCTGTAAAATTAAAGGCCGTCTAGTCACAATGCCTGATCCGCGAGGTAAAAAGTCTCTAAAAAGCTGATTAAATAAACACATTTATGAAAATGACATCACTTATAGAATAATGCTTATGTAAATTCGTTTTTTCTTTTCATGTCAATATTTAGAATAAAAGCTTCAGACGTTCAATTTTTTAAAAATATTTTAAGATTTAGCCAAAAAAAATTCTTACTTTCCGACAAAATTCTCCAGCACAGATGATTTGCCAGCACTTTGTCCTCCAACCACAGCTATCTGTGGTAAATCAAAGTTTAAAGAAGTTCCGAGCTGAGCGAATGCGTCCTAAAATAAAAGTCAATTTTTAAGCTGTTTTGTAATTTCTGATTTCACGATAATATAGCATATGACTTATAATATTAAAATGGGCTAACCTGCAATCTATTAATGATTGGTATTAGGGCTTGCATGCCCGTATTAACCCAAGCCATATTAACGTAAGCTTGCTAAACAATCACTACCACAGACTACTAGGAACGGTTAATTCCGCGAAATAATTCGTAAAGACTAGTACTATCAGTAAATAAAATATCGCACGACAAGTGAAGTAGAACAAGTAGGAAGGATATGTGCTTATATATATACAAGGTTTCCGAATCTGAAATTACAGTTTTTGCAAATATGAGAACTTTCAATGAAGAAAAAGATTTACAGACCAGACATAATCAGAGAACCAAGCAAGCAAACTTTTTAAAAATGGGAATATATCTTTGCATTTCGATGATAAACACAGCAGAATTGAAGAAATCTACAAAAAATAAAAATAAAAATAAAGATAGATATATAACTGTATATAAAACTTGTGTAAAAATTCAACACCTACATCTTAACATTCTATTTAAGAAAACAAAGCTTTTTACAGAAGAATCAAAAGCAGACGTGATTATGTAAATATCGAAAAATGAATAATCCATGAATAAAAATGATGCATACTAAACATGAAAAGTGAGAAAATCACACAAGTTTATTCCGTGCTTGTCTAGGTGGGTCTTGAATTAAATCCTGATAATTGCATAGTTAATATCTGTTACTTAGAGTTATACATATCTTGTCTAAGATCTAAAGCTTTTAACTCTAATCAAACTGATTCCTGTAATGCAACTCAAAATCTACTTTGTTAGTAAATCTGTGATTATATTTGAGCTGAATAGGAAAAAATACACAAAGATATTATTATTATTATGCCACAGTAGTATTGCATGATATGTTAATTTGAGCTTGCCCTAACAATACATACTCACACATAAAACATAACAAAGCAGTAGAATGAACATAAAAGTATACATATACTATTCAAGCATGCAAAGATATTATATTTAAAGATACGGAAGCAGTCTTTTTCAAAAATCGACTAAATCCTCTTTTCTTCTCGCTTGAAAAGACCGCAGTGAGATGAGGAGGCTTTGCCTAAAAAATTGTGCAACAAACTTCAATCTACAAATATTTTCATGGAAAGTTTCACGAAATTAATTATAAAACTAAGCAAAAACATGAAAATAAGGAATATAATTAAGTGATTTTTTTCCTTCGAAAGATTCTAATTAAATGATATTGCGACCATATAAACATCAAGTCATATAAAATTATGCTTTCCTTAACAGTTGTATAAAATTTACACTAAATACAATAGTAATCAGTGAGTACCAAGACATTACCAACGACCGTGATATACTACGTTTCTTACGTAATAATTAAACGATGTGAAGAGAGGATAACTTTAGTTCAAAACATGAAAATATTTGCATACTTACAAAACGAAAATGTCAACATTAATACGTAAAATTCATGTTGACTGGGAATGAAAATATACATATTAAAATTATAAGTATAATACTCAATAGATGCATTCCTTTTTGAGCAACAATTTAGTGGCTTGAAAAGTCAATGAGACACACACTATGACCTACAGTAAGAATGCTAAAAATGTAGAAAAAAAATAAAAGTGAACTCTGAAAAAAGCTACTCGAAAGAATAAATTAAATTTTGACGGATATTTCACGGATAAAAAATGAGGAAGAAATAGACGCAAGTAATGCAATAACCATTCGAGATATTAAAATTAAAAAGTAGAAAAGAACAGGACTTAAACGAACGTGTTTCTAGTACAAATATATTAAACTTTCAACGGACTGTTACAGTAAATGGAATAAGAAAATATCGAATACCAGAAAGCGAAAGAGCGAGCGATGTTTCCACGTAGAAATACGTGAAATCAGAAACAAAGCTGGAATATTTTTATCTATATGACGTATTATTATGGATGTGATGTTAGGAAATGACAGCACTGTGATCAACTGAGGATCAGCTGAATCTAATCGTTTCTTCCTCGAACAAGAAGTTTTCACTACAGTAATGACGTATTGCGTTGAACAAAGAATTCTGAGAGTAAAAGTGCTCACAATGCAATTACAATGTCTCACTGATCGATTTTACGTATTGAAAAAAATTAGAAATATTATTAATCTGTAATAATTATGGCGGAAAGTTCGAAATGTGTCCAATCTGTGGTACTACAAATGATTTGAAATGAGTCACACAAATTACCGATAATGATAATTAAATCAGTAAATAAAATCGTATAATTCGTCATTGCTGTGACTGAATCATACTATCAATTTCACATACGAAACAAGCAAAATTACTTCATCAATATCTATAAGTATCTGTTTGTTGCTTATTTTGAGTTCTGCAGTTATTGAATTTCTAAGTTTTAAGTCTTGCAGTTTTTGATTTCATATTTTCTATGTAAATAAATTATTAAATCTTGTTGGTACGTATGTATCTTTCAAAACAACTTATTAATTTCGCTACGAAGTTAATCTAACGATTACATTTTTGAAAAATAAAATTTATTCAAAAGATTCTTTCTCATTTATTTCATACAATACTGAAATTAGAATTTGAAAAAGCGAAGCTTTCTGATAATTTCGCTCGGATAATATTCAGATTCGTTACAGATTTAAAAGTTAAATCTTAATATTAATAATGTTTATTGCCTTTTCAAATACTCTTCAAAATGTGAATTGTACGAAAATTTGCATGTCAAAGAATACTTGAAAAGTGTTAAGACTGAACTAACGTGTATGATTAAAAGCAAGAGCAAATCTAAAGTAATTACAAGTTGAAATGGGACCTTCCGTCAAAGTATTTCAGAAAACGAATTATTTGACGTAAATGTCTGAAAAAGTCGCACACATACAATGAGTATTGAAAAAATGAAGCAGAACTTTTTTTGAAAGATTATTTAATTATTCTAAAATTTTTAAAATGCAAATTTTTGAACAATTTGGAAAAAATAATAAAAACATATAAAAAGTTTGTTAATAAATTAATCAAGAAAAACAATTGCTGAGATCAATGCTATGCATAAATTATCTAACAGATATCAAATACTTTTTGGAATGCAAATTTTCAGAAAGCATTTTGATTGCTATCGTTACTTACATTTGTATGTATCACAGCGAGCAAAATAAAGTAGCTAACACTGATTATCATTTGTTACTTCGAGAACATATCCAAAACTGTACACTGATCAATTAGTAAGAAATACATTTGTAAAATATATCACTTAATTAAAAATAACATAATAAGTTATTCCATGAAGATTATTCCCTAATAATTTTTTAAAATACACATTTATCCAATTTAGGTTGTTATTGATTTCAATATTATCATTCACCAAATATAAAGAAGGAAATATAGAGGTTATTATATATATTATATTTTAAATATATATATAATGCATATGAAAAAACCATCTAGAGGTTTAAATTCTTAAAGTATTGCTGTGGTTTGACAATATTATAAAACCTGAGCAATATCATTATTTGATATGAAGTATAAATTTTTAACGTTTTTGATAACGCTAAAATAACGTTTTTTCGTTTTCAACGAAATCTAAAAACAAATGCTTTCCTCTCTAAATTTGAAGTTAGTATTTTTGACTTTAGTTGTCGAAAAAATTTATAACTTTTTTCCTTTAAAATTATTTTTACTCAAAAAAAGCTTTTTTTTCCCACAATTTTAAGTCAAAAATACAGTTAAACTTTGACGTGCAATGAGATTTGCTTGAAATTTTCATCGCTGTAAAAGTTTACATTTAAAATAGTGCAAAGTAGAAATTTTGGAGAATACAACTAAAATTGAATTTCCAGGCCTATTTCTCAGCTTTGGCAAAGTACTTCCTATTGGCAAAAAAATTTGAGTTTGTTAAACGCACTGACATCGTTTGATTGCTTCTAAGCGAATACTTCTGCTAAAAGCAATATATTTCAGGCCTAGCCTAAGTAATTCAATGCAGGCCTAAAAGATTCAGATTTATTCATTCAAAAGTAAAAAATATAGTTGAATTAATTAATGTTCACTTCAAGTTGCTAAGAAGTAAGTTATCGAATCGCTACAAAATTTGCTTCTGTTCGTAAACTTCAACTGAACAAGAAACGAGAATAAAGTTTAAGTTTAGAGGAAAAAAACGCACAAAAAATTTCACGAAATCAAAAAAGTTCTCTCTGATATTCGAGAAAAAATAAAAGCAACTTTTTTAATTTGTGCCATTGTCCTACGAAACCAATTAAAATCATTGTGCCATACAATCAAATTGAGCATATTAAAGTATATTTAAGCAGTTTTGTATTTAAGTAAGATAATTAAGTGTTTTTATATTTTAGTTATTATAGTTTTTAGTTATTATATATACTTGAATATATCAATTAGCAAAACTTATCAGCTAAAAATGTTTTGCACTAATCAAAAACCATACCCTCAAAAAAATTAGTTCATTACTTCAAAAAATTTGCTTTGTGCAATAGTGCTAAAAATTCATTCTCTGCAATATTTTAACAATATTTTTCCATATTTTTAATATTTGTTCTAAAATTTTGATTTCGAGAAGTTCTTCAAAATTTGATCTGTAAAAAATTAAGATTTGATCTATAAAAAAGATCGAATTTGATCTGTAAAAAAGATCGAATTTGATCTGTAAAAAAGATCGAATTTGATGTGTAAAAAAAACTTGATCGCTTTATTTATTACAAATTTAGTTTGCTAGGGCATTTATTTGCAGTTACAACGAAAAGAGCCAATATCTATCATAACTTTTGCCAAACAAACTTTATCAAAAAACTTGACAAGATATATTTATCCCTTACATCACTTACTTTAGTACCAATAAATAAGTCCTCCACGATATCAGCATGAAATGCATTCTACTGACATTAAATACAAATGATACTAGCTGATACACTTACTTCACTAATAATCATACTATTATTCTTTGTTTAAGATTAGTTTGACTTGTCACAAGCGGACTAATTTGGCCTTCACTGTGGTAGTTTGAATTATTAGCTTAATACATTAATAAACATTTAAAAATTATAAATTTTGTTTTGTTCAACGGATCAAAAATATGTATTTAATAATTTTATAGCCTACT